AAAATCCAAATATGGCAACATATTTTACAAATCGTGCTTGGTGTCACTTGAAACTTAAGAGATGGATGCATCTTGCCAGGACTGCAGACGTGCCTTGGATATGGACTCTAATTTAATAAAAGGACACTTTTTCTCGGACAGGCTTTACTAGAATTAGAATTATATGACGAAGCAATTTAAGCATTTACAAAGAGGTTGCATATTATGAAACCAACCATCATAAAAACAATAATAGTATTTTTGACATTGGTCTCTGATTTTCAGCAAACGATTTGGCTAAAGAACAACAGAAGTTAAATTTTGGTGATGATATCGCTTCACAAATTAGATTAGCTAGGAAAAAGAGGTGGAATGTTCAAGAAGAGAAGAGGATTGCTCAGGAAATAGAATTACAGTCGTATTTAAATAGGTTAAAAATTGGGATTACATACATATATATATATATATATATATATATATATATTTGTCCTAGCCATCTTAAGACTAACTTGAATTTTGATATAAAACTCCATGTATTTCAAAGTTGAAAAAAAGAAACTTACCATTGTCTTTTCTATAACTCCTTTGAAACATGATCTTTTGCTCTAAATTTTTAATATCCATATTATACATAAATTTCAATTTTTCAAACACATTGAGGTTGATTCAGGTTTCATTAAGAATGGTCATATTATTATGGAATCCTAAAGATTAAAAAAAATAAAAAGAATTATTTTTAATAGGTTAATAAAAGAAGATATGGAAAACAAAATACAACAATTGAAATCTGAAAATAGAAATAATGAAGAATATATTAGTCAAATGTCTTCTGAAATACAAACAAACTGTGTATGTATACATTATTATGATTGAATTATCTCTCAAATTTTATATCAAATATTTATTTTAGGAGAATTATGCAAGAGAATTAAATAATTTATTTGAAAAAGTTGATGACAGAAGGAGGGTTAGTATAGTAAAATTATTAAACTTTGTTAATTGTAGCATTATAATACTCACCATTACGATTAACAGAAACGAGAAGTACCTGACTACTTATGTGGCAAAATCAGCTTTGAAATTCTTAATGAACCTGTTATAACACCAAGTGGGATTACATATGAAAGGAAAGATATTGAAGAACATTTGCAAAGAGTTGGTCACTTTGATCCTGTAACTAGAGTTAAACTCACACAAGATCAACTCATACCAATTTCACAATGAAGGAAGTTGTCGATTCATTTTTACAGGAAAATGAATGGGCTATTGACTACTAAATATTGTTAAACGATTATTGCTTTTTCAAATGAAAATAATTATTATAAAATATCTAATTTAGCCTCGTCCACTAAACAATATTATAAAATTATGAATTACTTGTGTTTTTAAGTAGGTTGTGTATGTAGTATTAATTTACTTATGTTTCATTATTTGACATTTTATCTGAAAACTTGTATTTTATTTGCAATGGATTGCTCAGCAATGTTGGATTAAACCTTGAATCATGTTGTCTTGTATGTAAGAATATTTTCATTATGTATTATATAGCATAAATAAAAATATATAACTATTCTTTTGTGATTTTCTAAACTATTACAATTTGTATATTTTGTCATTCTTGAACAACAAATTGCCTTTACCAAATACCTACTTCAAACTAATTTTCAACTTGAATCTTATAAAGATTTGCAATAGATATAACCAAAATACAAGAAATTATGTGAATTTAATTCCATACAATTAGTTAACAATTAATTTAATCTGAAATCAAATAATTTAGATTTGAGATAATGTGTCGGTTTTCAATTCACATTATGAATGGAAAAGATCTTTGAAAATTTCATATTTCTATTTCATTTTCTTTGACATAACATTTTAATACAGTTATTTGTTATTTTAAATGTTGACATTTTCCTCAAAAGTGAAATAAAAATATTTCATTTCATACAATTATATTATTATAGATATGTCATATTTTTCTATATGATTTTATTTAATTTTTGGCGAGTTTGCAAATTTATAAATTAAGGTGTGATTGATGGTTTGGTCATCTTTAACAAAGCATTGTTTTCAAAAAAAAGGTTGCTTTCAAAATATTGTAATTTAGTTACTCACGTTATATTAAAGCAAAGTATATACATTTTTCTTATAAGATATATGATATTGTTAATGCAAGTATTACGTGGGCTAATTTATATAATTTATAAAGACGTTTTAAAATAAGTATAGAATAAATATTGGAAGCGCTAACTCTAATATGCAGTATATATTTTCATTCGTATTTATCTCAAAAAAAAGCCAAAATATAAAAATAAATGCCCACTTAATATTGTCAAACTGAGATGAGCATTATTTAAATATAATGAATTTTAATTAAAAATAGGCTGCATGAAAATCAATACAACGAACAAGAAAATAAAGATATTTAAGTATTTTTTAACCATAGTTATAACAGCACCAAAAATTCTACATAATAGTTTGTTTTAATATTTTACATATGGTCTCAAAATTTGCTCATCTCTGTATGGATCTCATATAAATTTGAGTAACTATTATTTAGAATAAAGATAAAAAGTAAATACATTTTATTTTATAAATAAATAGATAATATTTGTTTGATGCCAGTAAATCGTGGATTTATAGCTGTTTGTTTAATATCGTCCGAAAATAAAAAAAAATACACCAAGTTCACGCTTTTAATTTGGCTTATGTATTTTATAAACAGCGAATAAAATTTCCGCATTTAACTATTCACTGTTTATTTAAATCAAATGTTTAATTACACCATCACTTAATATATATTTTTGGAGTTTCGTCACTAAGTAATCGGGCCAAAGTAAGTTATTTTAAATCACCATATAATATTTTAATCGCGATTCATATTCATCAAAAGTCGCTAATATCATATAGTTAGATATTGCTTTTAAACAACGTATTTCTCCTGTAGAAACATTGTCAAACGTAGGTAAATGCTATTTACTTGATAAAATTAAATCGAAGCTCCTTTCATCTAATTATCACGATAATTATCATTTCTCACATTGGACCACTTGCTAAATTCACTGGATATACTTCTTACTCATACATAAATACAATGTATGAAGTTGTATATAATCTTAAATACATCGTTTCAAAAATTTTTCGTTAATTGTTTTACACTTCGAGATTCTCGCTAACTTTTGATAATATTAGGCAATATTTTTTATTCCCATAAAAATGTATGTTAATTGAAAATATCTGTATCAAATAAATCATTGCAATACAAAGTCATTTATCACGCAGAATCAAAAGAATTAAAATCATATCCAGAATAGACTAAGACTTTTAGAAACTTCGGAAAGACGTTTTAGGAAAATAGAACCCTTTAGCAAAGGTATATTAATAGTAGTCAAAAATAATCCAAAATTAACGGTCACAAACCTTGCACTTGAACTTTGTATAATCGCCTCCTGCGACTCTAAAAATCACCATTTATATTGCAAATAGTCAAACGATTTTGACGTATCGTTCTGACTGTCTTTCGATGAAGACGTGCAGGAAACAGATGAAACATTGACTGGTGATGAATCAGCGGAGACGCTACGCAGCGATCCGGCCGCAAGAACCCTTTCGCGCCTACAGAGTTCGAGCCCTCTGCTGGCGCTGGCAGCATCTCATTGGCCCAGTTGCGAAGGACTTAGTAATAGTTCAGGACGACAACTCCCTGTCGCGTTTCCGTTTCCGTTGTTTGAATTGGACGCAGTAGGTTCACTCATTGGACGAATCTTTGGTACCTAAAATAAAAAAATCGTTATGTAGTATGGTAGTATTTTTATAGATTAATTAACTTCCCGAAGGACAAGTTTGTTTTTGCGAAACAATCAGATTTGCTGATTTTATGTTTTCTCGACGTTTCAAGTGATTCTGAACCGAATGAGAACAAATTTAGAAAATGTTTGTGTGTGCGTCCATGCGTGTGTACGTGAGCCCATTTTTTGACCTTTTGTCGACGTTTTCGCATAAACGGCTGGACTGATCTCGAAAATGTAGAAGTTATTAGATGTATATCGATTAGGACAGTTTTAGCGACGATCGACCAAGCCATTGCAATTGGCAGAAAAAAGTAAAATTATTCGTCAAAGTTTTAAACCACAATTTGAATCGAAAGGTATTGAAAGTCTGAAGTAACATACTAAATTTTTATAAGCGTAATACGATAAGCGCTTGAATTATAAAAACCATTAAAGCTTGAAAGATTCTGATCAGAATTTATGCCGGCGCGTTCTGTACGTTTTGTGGTATTTCGTACGTAGCTACTGATTACTGTCTACGTCCGAAATCAAAATACACTTTTAGAATTTTACAATTCATCATACCTCGATTACCGTCATCAGATTTTCCTCGCTACTTGTAACACTACAAACATCCAAGCTCTGCATTTCGTGCCCTTGAATTGCTTGCATCTGAAGTTGAATTGATTGTGATGGTTGGAAAATTTTCGAACAATGCGGCATCTGGTGATTTGAATCAGGCCGTTCGCACTGCGTCGTGTACGTCGTAGTATTCGTATTTCCACAAGGCGCTATAGAGACCCGCTTTTTATGACTTTGCCGATTTGGATCTTGTCGAAGCAGAGATGCGCATTGCTCGGAAAGCGCCAAATCTTCCTCACCATTTGCCATTAAACCTTGATAAAATATAGAATTATTCATGCAATATGTCTTAAAAGAGAGATTAGAATATAAATACAGAAGAGCATTAGATTAATCACACCTTGTTCGCGCTGGCTGATCCTGGTGGGCGCAGGTCATATTCAGCACAAATCGGTGCAGTGCGACAACGTTCGCTACCGCCTGCTGCCGTTACACGTTTACTTCGCTGTCGTTTTCTGCGGGCACGACCACATCTCGAAGGGCAGAAACACAGAAGTATTCGTACCAAACAACATAGAAGGCCACAACCTTCAACACGGAATAAAAGTTAATAGAAACGTAAAAAAATCATATTTTGGGAACTTTATTCATAAAACATTTATAATCATAACATAGTGCAGCATACCTATTAACGTAGGTCCAATCAACCTCAATTCTAATGTTTTAAAGCCCTTTTCGCCAGTGCCGACAAAAGATATGACTAATCCTATCGCTACCGTACCAAGTCCCACGTACAAAATCGCATTGGCTGCAGAGCTTTGTTGGTACAAGCCGAAGAAGTCCTCATCATCAGAAGAAACTACCTCCGAATGATGCGTCATGTATCTAAAATCATATTTCGCAACCAGGGTGTGAATTACTTCATGTTTTCAAAACTTTTGAGTGTTAAATGTCTTTCTTGTTTAGTAGACTATCCGATCATTTTAGTAATAAAACTGGGTTAAATAAAAATTCATTTTTACGCTTCAAATGAAAATAATATTGAAGGGTGAACGGTCGGTAGATTATAGCCGGAAAATTAATGCATTATTATTATTATAATCACAACTAAAATAAAAATATAGGCAAGGTATTTATCAGGTTTAGAGCTTTACTTTGAAAATTAATTAAGATTGTATGCACATTAGAAACATTTGCCTTTTGCACCTATATATTACGTTTGTCAAGAAGACATTTGGCACAACTTAAATATTCAATGAAAGACTATTGGTTTTCATGAAGAATTGAATCGGTAGGATAGATGTTGATTTGTGCAGTTCAACACGAAACTGGCATTTGTATTGATCATTTGGCCGACATGACACAAACCTGGAGAAAGGTCAAACAGCGTTGCGGCGGTGGTAACGGGAAATGATTATGCTATGAGTAAAATTAGGTCGTTTGTGAATTACGATCATTAAACATATTGCTTCTCCACCTGAAAACGCGAGCGACAAAGTCTATTTAGACAACAAAAATAGTGGTTGCAGTAATTTCGATTACTGAATGATATATATGGCCACGATAGTGTAGTATGAAGTATTTACGTTACGTTATTTGAGTAACTTAATGTAAAGATTGATGTATAATTATCTGTAAAATTAATCATAAAAAAATTCTGTATCATATTTTCTTCCATATTATGCATACACATATACGATATTCATTCATACGATTCGTATGTATAACTCCGAATTGAATAATCTTTATCGCGTTCAGGTGTAACGAATAGTTTGTAAGATTAGTGAATCTAGAGTAACTTTATGTACTCAGATTTATTAGATTTTTTTCTAAAATGTATTTTTACATCAAATGATATTCTGTGAAAAACTTTGATATAACTATTTGTATATTTTATTTGTAATGTAAATTAAAATAATTTTATTCGTTGTATACATTTAACAAAATTTCTACATTAAGCCAAATTTTATAAACATCTATCTATAACAAAAAGTGATTTTTGTATATTTTTTATTATATTCATTGTGTATATTACGCACTAAATGAATTTGAATTAGTATTATACTGCAAAGTTTGAGATCTAAGTTGAAAATGCTAGTAATACCTTTCAGCATTCTTTAAAAAAAAATATTATCCCTACGACGAAACAAAGTATGTCTACCATATTTGTTCACATTTGTAACGGAAAGTGTAAGTTATTTATAAACAAAAACATAACATTCATTTTTTCGGAAATATATAATTGGTCTAACATTATCATGTCTAGTTAGATAAGTAGGAAAATTTCAAGCAGACATGATTATTACATAAAAGATTTAGACATAAATGCATGTAACAGATTTCAAAGCTAAAACATATCACAAAACACAAAGATTTTGAAAAAAGTGTCACTACTATATAAAAACAGGTAAAGTTATAATTTACTGATCAAAATTGCAAGAAAATCAGACGGACAATGTGGTGTGGTGCATATTGATTCCAACAATCAAGAGTTACACATACCGTTTACTGCCTCCCATGGTTATGCATAACTATATAATTTATTAACATTTGCATGTGCCACATACACGAAAGTACACGTTAAAATTTTGTTCAGTATACAACTACTGTCAATATTCGTGCTGTTGCCAATCATATTTACCGTGTATCGATTTTGTGTAATCACCACACCAAATTGTAAGCTGACTGTTCTGAAAATTAATTATTAGAGCAACGAAAACATTCATGTTTGTTGTTTTGACATAATTAAAAATATTTACAGACTAATAATAATCTACTATCTTTTACATATTTAAAAAAATATTTATCCGTGTTCAAAATAAAAGTTTGTTCAGCTCCCCGTGCTAATAAAGTAATATTTTGTAAATAAAGGTAATATTTTGGAAAATATATATAATGAAGGTAATATTTGGGAAATTTAATTCTATGTAATCTTAATCGATTTGATTTTCTTTATTAGGTAAGTCTTATAAGTTAAGAAATAAAAATGTATTGATACTGAATACAAAACATTGAACCTATGAAACCAGAAAATCCAGAACAGTAATCTAAGATTTCTAATCTAGAACAAACAAAGATTTATAAAAAATTCTATTCGAACGTGATCGATTTGTTCTACTAGAAATAAACATACATTATGTTGATCAATACAATTTTTCAAACAAAAAGCCTAATACCGATATGTATTGACTGACTACCATGTATTAAGTATGTGAAATTGAAAATACATAGAGTCAATGCCATTTTGAAGGATTGATGGTAGAAGGATTCAGGTATGATGCTCACCCTGTTGCGCTTCATCCAGCGCATGTGCGCCTCGGACTGCTTTATTCGGTGACAGGCTGCGGTTTCTGAGACGCTGCAACGTCTGCCGCGGTCCAGCCAGGCAGCCTTGCCCTGGGCGCACTGCACGACACAAACGACAAAAAGAAAAGACACAGATTGTAGCACGATGGCTCAACGGGCACATCGATGTGCAGAAACATTATAAAAAGGGCTGGTGCTTTCAGTTTAAAACTAGCTGTAAGTGGAATTCTGTCTTAAGGCAATTAAGGCATCGTGCCTTAAGGCAAATTCCCGTACCAAAAATTATTATTTTTTTAAAAACGAGTAACATTTTTGAAAAAAAAATTACTTTGAAAAAATAAGATTTTTGAGAAACTATAAATTTGACAAAAAATTACTTTTTTTTGAAAAAAATTTTTTTTCTTTATTTTGACATATTGTGGAAGATCTGAACTTTCTTTCAAAGCAATCGTACTGCTTTAACTGCATAGGGACCAAATATAAAGCGCGTAAGCGCCGCGTCGCTGTCTAACGCATAAGGACATTGGTACGGAACCCATAGGAATGTTAACAAAATGTATACTTATTGTTAAAATCTCTATAAAATATCTGATACTTTGATGTGCATATGTCTAATGATCATTTTTGACCGCCAAATGGCTCATTTTTTTACTTTTTCCTCCGTATCTCCGAAACCGCTAGACCTACCTTCATGAAAATTTTATCGATTCTTCATCTTGTCAATACAAGTGAAATGTTTTTTGAATTATTCAAATCGGTTGATCCGTGTTCCCGAAATCGTCGACGAAAATTTGTATTCGCACATACATACACACACACACACACACACACACTCATATATCCATTTTTTCTAAGGTATGCCAAATGTTCAGAAACCTCTGAAACGTAAGGATATAAAAATTTTCATTTTTGATTTTTTTGCGATTACTATAACTTGCCCTACGGGAAGTTAATATTATTTTGATGATAAAATAGTTTATGACGATACTCACGAGGCCGTTGATTTTGAGACTAATGAAGGATTAATAAGATGAACTTTTCAGTTCTAGTCTTATTTTGAACAAATCAAACATGTCAAAAGCTACTTTATAGTTCACTGTTTATGAACTGCCGAAAATGCGCTTCATAAATTATTTTAAGTAATATATTATAATTATATATAATAATATAAAAAGAAAATTTGTTTCATTGTAATTGTTAAAAGATTTGGCAATACTAATCTAAGGATAGTTAGTTAATTTGACACTTTATTGAGCGTAAATAGACCACGCAATTTCCTGAATTGTGGTTTCCATGCGTGAATCGAGAATTCTATTTAATTGATCGTTATGGCGTTATATGAGTATTTACCGAAAATCCTTCATTTCATTGCTAAACTCCTGAACAAAAAGTACTAACTCAAGTAAAAAATGCTAGAATATGAACATTCGTATTAAAACAAATTAATATCTAGTTAAAATACTAGTTTTATTTAAAAAATTCTTTCAAAACTCATTAGCACCAACCCTTTTATTGACATTTAGAAAAAACAAGACAATAAAACTTATAAATATAAATCATACAAATATACAAGGAAGACTTCGGTTTTGTCATACCGTTTTATGCATTCTTCATTATAATAAAATAAACCATGCGTCAAGAAGTGAATATTGTATGCCGTATCATTAAAAAATATGAAAAAAACATTACTAGCTAGCTACCAAGCCATGTAATCTCCTATTTATTATTATCATAATCTGAACTAACCAACTAACTATATATATATGTATATATATATATATATATATATATATTAATTAGTATATTATAAAATTTATTATTTACAAATAAACAAATATATTAGAAATGTATTATTTCAAATGTATTAGAAATAAAATATATTCGATTTTATTAAATAAACATATAATTTAAGTTTCAATATGCATACACACGTATTTATTTATCGTTCACTTCCTGATAAAAAACATTCATCACACTGACATGTAGATAGTGGAATAAATGCAAACTAAAACAAAATAGAAAAAAACTGAACATGCAAGGAAAATTACTGACTCCATAGCAAAAACTCACAGAAACATTACAGTTATGTCATAATAGAGATTAAAAGATTAAAATAAGTTAAATAGAGTTAGTTACAAACGATACATTTCGTTTACAACTTATAGGAAAAATCAAATAGAGCTTCCTTTTGAAAAGGCAATTGATTACATTACATTGTTACAATGAATATACTTCATATTTATATCGTCCACTTATTTCAGTCAATAATAATATTAACCATATTACTAAATGTAACACAAAGATCATATTTATTTATTTAATATTTTTCATTTTTCTACCTCGTTTTATTTTTATTTGCTAAAACAATTTGATTAATGGGATTACGAATTATGTCATATCCATTAATTTTTCAATATGTAATTTTGTTGCCAAAAATTATATTCATATAAATATAAGTACATATTTAAATACAACCTGGCATTTAATTTCAATATAGAGCATTTCAAAATCCTTATCATTTAAAAAACGATTATGTATCTTGACTATTAGTCGATTACAATAACTTTCATATCAG